ATAAAGAGTTTAAAGTAAACTTCAGTGGATTTAGAAAGATTAGTATACATTGTGCTTAAAATCAGTGATGGAATTACAATTCTTTTCTGTCAACACTTGCTCAGAGTGACCAGCCAGTACACAAGCATAAACCAGGGTGCTTGGTCCGTGTTGGAGAACCTGTTCTTACCTGACCAGAACTTTATGAGGCCTCAACCTCAACCTACTTGGAGTCATGAGGACATAATGAAAGGTCTCAGTTTTCTAAGGATAGCGTTTGGCTTCCTGCCCTTTCTGATCTGTCTAGTTCTGTTTTTACTTTCTGGAATGACCCTGGCAGAAAGGTTTCTATGTGTGAAGATGTTTGTCGTGATTATTTCTCTTCTTTTGTAAGGTGCACTATGTGACCTTAAGGACATGCTAACCAAGTTGAAAATACTGGTCAATAACACAGTGAAGTGTAAGTATCACCTATCTACAAATACCTTTACCTTCTAGCTTCACTGCTTTGTATCAGTCTGAGTTTTTCTGACACAATGAGAGCAGAAACTAAAGGTGTACTGTAATTAGAGAACAGGCCCTAAAGACCCACACTGCAGCTGAGCTCTGTGATGCAAAGACCAGATCTGGAAAATGGATGTAAGTTTTAATGGGATGCATTTTTTTGTTTCTTTTTTTAGTTTATTTAATGATCAAAGCCGGATCAAAAAGAATATATAAAGCCTGCGATCTGAAATTATGTATCAGCAAGCTGCTCCCCTCTTGGCACTGAGTTGTTTACTCCTTGAATTCATGACTCAGCACACCATGGTTGACCTAGAAAGCAAACCCCAGAGACAAAAAGATAGAGAGCAATCATGACCAGAGTTTTTCCTTTCTTCCCTGAGGGGTGGCCTGTCAGACGGACTCTGAAAGCCAAACAGCAACTTGACTGACTAACTGAGAGATTGTACAGAGCATAACAACTGTAAGTGAGACAATGGTGGTAACAGAAGGTTGACAAGTCAGCCGCTCACTTTTTGATTACACGATTGACTGATCCATTCAATTATTCATTTGCTAGTTTCTGAGTCAAAGGACAAAGGAAGATTGTGTTGGAGGTTCTCCATCTTCCTTTCTGTTCAACTTTGCTATCCTTTCATCCACTACGTGTCCCTTTGCGGGGGTAGCTATGCAGTTCACAAGCACTGGCTATGAATTAATTGGTCGACAGGAGTAGGTCTGCTAACACCTTGGTGACAACATGCCCCCTTTTAGCTTGTTTCTTTTGGTTCGTCTCCTAGTTTAGCTGTAACACATCAAAACAATCGACAAAATGCTAGCAAGAGGCTAACAGGATGTATGTTGAACGCTGACAACACCATCACTTTTACAGGTCTTTATTGTTCGTTTGGAGAATAGGAAAATTTTGTTGTTTTTCAGTCCAGTTGAGCCGTATATATGGAAGAGAAATTTAATCCCTGACTGCAATATACAAGTATGTTAGTCTAGCTATGAGAAGTTCTTGGACTAATGTGTTTACATGTTTTTCTTAGAAGTCCGGTTTCAGTGGAATCTGTGGAAGACTAGCCTGTTACTTCTCTGTTACACTTCACCAACAATGGAAATGTGTTGAGGGGCGTCACTATGGGGTGGAGATATCCTCCTGCAGGGCTGGCAACAGAGAAGGTAACAGAATTAAAACGGTGTCACTGTAAAAAATTACCTGCTGACTGTTTACATTGTGCCTCTTGTGCTACTGGTGTAACGTGAAACATGATCACACAACAGACTGCTAATATTTCACTTTTTATGGGTTTAGTATAAAAGCAATGAGGTCGGGTGATGCAGGAATGTTAATGTACAATGCGCCCTAGAAAAAAACAAGACAAACTAACACTGATGGTCAGTTTAGATTCACCTGTTGACTTACAAGCATCTTTTTGGACTGTGGGCATTGATGCAGCCACACACAGACACGGAAACTGTCCAGTTTTTCTTCAAAAGTTGACTTTGTAGCCTGGAAGTAGGGCTGCACGATTAATCGATTTAAAAATCATAATCAGATTATTTGATTATGACGATGTTAAAAAAATTTAAATCGTCAAATTGATTTTCCTCTCTATCATGTCTCATGCCTCCAGGCCACCGTAGACTCCCCCTTCCTGTGGAAGCAATCCCCAGTTCCAACTCACACCATTGTAAACAAATATGGTGTTTGCAAAAGAAGGTAAAAATTTTGTGGCTAAATAAGGCAAGAGCAAGTCACTCGTGTGGAATTGGTATGACTTTGCAGTTTCAAATGAAGAGCAAACCACTCCCCACTGCAAAGTCTGTCTGAAGGCGGTATCAATGAGTCTACACAGTAACGAAATCAGGAGTAAACGCAAAAGATTTTTGTTGTATCGGCATTTCATCCACATGAAAACGGCATTTCGGCTGTAAACGGTACTTTTTGTTAACTGGTCAGAGAGTGCAGAAATCCTTAAATGACTACCATTTCATCTTCGTGTGGATGTCTATCTGCATCTCTCTTGAAATGATTATGCGACACATCAGGCCAGAACAACCTTTGTACGCGTGCGCTGTACTCTTCCTCTGTCTTTTGTGCATTTCCCCAGCAACATTGTAGCGCCACTTACTGGCTTGGCATATGCACTACATCGTTTTCAGTGGTTTTGTTTTGAGAGATGATGGAAAAACCTTTTACTTTCAAAGTGAAGATTGGTGAAGTTGTCACTGAATAAAAAAATAGAAATGAAAAACCGAAGCTTGTGCAGCCCTACCTGGAAATGGTTTCACTTACTGGACGGAAACGCTTCAAATTTATGAGAATTTTCTTGGGTGTGCTGATTTTTCACTGAATTATAAACCATTCAATAACAAATATTAATGTGGTGTTATGATTGGATTGAGGAACAGAGACCACGCCACACATTCTTTCCCCTTGGCGTGACCGTTTAAGCACACTTAATCCTTTTCTCACCTCTTTGCTCCATGTTGCATAATAAGCTGTTTCAAATCCATATCTTCATTGGTGCAGTGAGAGACAAAACAGGCCTGCAGTTCTACAGCTGAAAAGAGCAATAAACACATTGAATGGATCCAATCATCATACGAAATAGTAACCACTGCTACTTCACTTAGATGAGAGGATGTGAAATTGTCCCCCAGCACTGTTCATTCATTCAGTCATTCACCTTCTCCAGAGAGCCATTGATATTACATTATGTCTTCATTTGTTCCTTTCTGCTGGTCAGACATTCAGTGATTCATTTATTACGGTCCAATTCATTCCAATACAGTGATGAGTATTGTAATGAAGTCACTTGGGACCGGGCCTAATGCTTTTCACAGCCATATCACAGCAACAGAGAGCCAGTGTAGAACGAGATCTGTTCAGGCTTTACAGACAGACATCGCCTGCAGAGACAAGCATTAAGATCGGGTCAAGTGTTGAAAATCATCAGAGATATTTGCTGGTGACTGTTAAGCATCAAATCTCATCTTTTAAGTTATTTACGGAGCTCCACTTGTCGGCTGTCAAGCTGGGGGGATAAACAGTCATTCAAGATTAATTTTACGATCCATTATTCAGACAGCTGATGTGAGAATTCAGTCATGACCCTGTTCTCACATCTGCTGCTGCTGCTCTCCAGTTCTGCTCCCTCTGCTGTGAGTAAGGATGGAAATAAGTCAGCTCATGTATGAACAGATTAAAACTAAAATAATCTTGTGTCTGACAACTATGGTAAAAATCTCTCAGCACAAACACCCTCATACATTCACAGACAGAGCTTCAAGGACCTGTGGTCGGGGGTTACTGTGCTTACAGGAGACAACAGCTGAGGAGCATCAGTCTATTTTTGTTCTCCCTCTATTTAAGTCTCCCTACCTTGGAATCTGGACTATCTCACCCTAAAGAGGGCACAAACCTTATTACACTTGCCCTGACCAACATTTCAGGAAATGTATTAAAACTTCATGAATCTACACAAAAACAAGCCAAAGCCAAGAATTTGTTGTTGTTCCAAGGTCACTGAAGGTAAACTGGGTCAAACAGGCAGAGATAGCCGGAGCCCCTGATACAACACTGTGGAATAATACCAGTGGTTATTAGTTATTGGATTAAACTTGCAAACAGAAACAGAACCACTTGGCACTATTAGGTGGATGTCTTGCCCTGAAATAACCTTCAACCATAAAGTCATGGCTTAGGACACAGAGGTCATGGTTCCCGGGTTATTTGTGGAAATTGAGGGTTTAACGACCTGGAGAAATTCACACAAAGTTTAGTCGTTATCTGAAGATGATATATGTGAAAAAGCCCTGAATAAAATGAAGTGTACTGGTTTCACTGGTCTGATTAGGACTATCTAATCAAATATTTGCAACCTTTTGAGTCTCTATGGTGAGCAGGGCAGGCAGAATGCAATGTCATCTAAGCTTCCATTATTGGCTATCAGATAGTGATTTATTTACCTCCTTTATTGAATATCAGGCAAATGAAGCTAACCATTTGACTGGCTTTTCAGATTTACACAGATTTGCATTTGAAAAGCCAACCAGCATAAAGACTTCCTGAAATCCACTGTAAAATATTCAACCAAGCTCCATCCAACAAGTAAACATTTTAAAGATGATTTTACCTGCATTTGGGGACAGACGTAAGAAAGCTTTACTTTTACTGTAAACAAATCTGCAGGATTATGTTATTTCAGCAAATTTACGACCCATTAATTAAAAACAAACAAACAAAAAAAACACATAAAAATGTGTTTTTAGGGTGTATAAAACATGGATGTAGTGTTGGTGACATCAGTCATTTGTTTCTAACATGGAGTTTTAAAGACTATCGGTGACAATTGCTATATTGGTAATGCTAACTCAGCCCCACTTTCAGTCAGCCTAGCAGAGGCGGGCCTTGAGCCTCCTCACAAATGACTGCAGTGAGCCTGCCTATCAGTCAAGTCAGCCTGGACTCTGATTTGCCAATCTTGTCACCTTGACCACTTAGAAATTGAAAAAAAAAAAAAAGGGGGCCCTCCAGACCAAAACTATTATTTGAACTAGGCTGTTACTCTGTGTTATTTTTTCTGTTACAACGCCTTTTGTGGTTCGATGTGTGTTTATGGTATTTATGCTGCGTTTAAGTTACCTCGGAAGTCAGATGTCGGAGCTGAAAATGATGTCACACTTGAGTTACCAGCGTTTCAGTTACCAAGTGGGAAACGGCAGTGAGCCTGCCTATCAGTCAAGTCAGCCTGGACTCTGATTTGCCAATCTTGTCACCTTGACCACTTAGAAACTGAATTTCCCAGTTTGGAATCAATAAAGTCTATCTATCTATCTATCTATCTATCTATCTATCTATCTATCTATCTATCTATCTATCTATCTATCTAGGCTGTTACTCTGTGTTATTTTTTAAAGCCTCAAGTGGGCATTCTGCGAACTGCAGTTTTTAGCACCTATGCATCAGCTTCATTTCTCAAAACTGGAGGTTGCCGCTTGGGTTATACAACTTAATATACAAAGGTTAAAAAGCTGTCCCACTTACTTGGCACATGCATATTGCAAATTCACACTCCCCATTTGCCTGTGAGGTAATTATATCAGTTTTCCCCCCTTTTTGGGCACATGAATTCAAATAAAATAGAGCTTTCTAACCCTCTACCTCAGGACTCTGTTAATGTGTAGAAGGGAGGCCAAAAGAAGAAGAAAAAAGCCATGTTTTCAAAGAGATTCACAAGTGTGGGTGGGGTCACAGACACATCTTTAGTTGGTAATTGGACCATAAACAATGTTTCCTTCACAGGTCTTGGCTGGAAGTTATTTCATGCTAACCACTGCAGCTTTGGACAAGTCTGCCCAGGAATTAAACTTTTGAGGATTTCTTTTGCTGAAATGTTGTCACGCAAGTGGGAAAAGAAGCTACTTATGCAGCTTCAGGGCCTAACTGCAGATCATTTACATGCTACATACTCATAAATAAATGAAAACGTGTGAAAATCCTAATCTAAATCAAGTATCAGCAAACCCATTCTTGTTTCTGGTTTGTTTTATTAAAGTTTTTTGGGTTGGGTATGGGGCTCTGACTGGTCCACTGTATGTGAAAAAAAGCGTATGAGATGAATGTAGCCCTTTGCCAGAACCTTTCACCTCACACATTTACAATGTCAGTGGAAGAGGAGTGAGCAGAGAAAAAAGGGTTTTACTCATAAATGAGACAAGGTGTAAAACGAGCGGTCTGTCCCTCTTTGTGGCCTACATTCAGAGCTGAAGGTCTGAGAGAAGATGAAACTTGTTACCTCTGAGTTTCCAGAAAGCCCCTCCTTGGACAAACCCCTCCGCCTGAGCGTCACACAAAGTTCACTCCAGTGCAGTCCCCTTTCCCTAAGCTCTAACACACTCTCACACACAACCACTGTCATCCACACAGACGCACACACACGCACATACACCAAAGACGTTTGCAAACCGCGCGCCTGCAGCTACTTTTTTCACTCCAGCGGACGCAGAAGAGGACCTGTTGGATGCTACTGCAAAGATTTTTTTTCTCAACTTTTCTCTATCTTGTCACTCTCTTCAGCGACAACTTGTATGACAACTTTTTTTAGAGGATCTTCTTTTCACTTCTGCAATATCGGAGTTTATGGAAGAATAAAGCGCTTAATTGCATCCAATTTTGGAACGGTGCAGTTGGATTTAAATCAACATTTCACGGTGAAAATGAATAACTCCGTGAAATAACTCACTCCTCCGGTCCGAAGGATTTCAAGGTATGCTTTTATCAGCCGTGACCATGCATTACAGTAATCTCTCCATCTCGGAAGCGTCCTGCCACGGTGCCTAATTTACTTTAATATCAGCCTCAAGTTGAAAGGCGTCTCGCAGGTATCTCTCCATAGTAAGTTTGATGGAGTTGAATGCCTCAAATGGATTTTGCGCTTTTCTGTGATAAGATAAGAGAGAGAAAGAGCAGGAATGTGTGTGTGGGATTCAGTTTAAGGTTTCTTTATTCTCCCTTCATTGCTAAACCATCATGCGCGTTTGTGTCAGAAACCGTGATTCACAGGATGATTGTGATTCATGTCATTCAATTAATCTAATGGGCAAACGCATGCGCATTGCTCAGTGTTGTTGGAGTCAGGTGCCCTGTCTGAGAGAGGCTGTGTTTCTCTGGAGTGGGTCTAAGGACAGGGAGTATCGTGTGCTGTCCAGACAGCAAATCCCCTGGAGTCAACTGTATGATTTTAGGCTGTATGATTAAAATTGACTTGACGTTTGTGTGTCTTTGTGTGTGTGTTTGTCAGAGAGTGTGAGAGAAAGAGAGAGAGAGAGAAAGACAAGAGACTGTACATTTTTGGACATATTACTCTGGGGCACTTCACTGCTCTCTAACAGTCTTAACTTCTCTCTTTTTCCGTCCTTTGCAGTGTTAATCCCAGTATAGCTTCCCCTCTTGTGGAGTGAGGATGTGTCGGAGTGTGTGTGTGCCAGGGGCTCTGCTCACTCTCCTGGTGCTCTCGCTTGTGGCGCCTCCAGGCCAGGCCTGCCCAAGGAGCTGTAACTGTTACCAGGCCAGTGAAGTCCACTGTACGTTTCGTTCCCTGCTTACTATTCCTCCTGGTCTGCCTGCACACACGCGCCGTATCAACTTAGGGTAAGGGTGCAAGAGTGCCAATTTACAGTAGCAGTTTACAGTATATTACTATCATATGAGTCGAGTCATTGGTAACTGCATTTGTGATACTGTTTCGGTGCTGCTTTAGGTTCAACAGCATCAGCAGGATCCACGACACCTCTCTGGCTGGGCTGAGGAAAGTGGAGCTTCTGATGCTCCACAGCAATGACATCCACGAGCTTCCAGACTCGGTGTTCAAAGATTTGAAATCACTGCAGGTAAACAGATGGAGGAGTGTCAACAAAGTGGATAATAATCAAAAAAAAGAGAAGAAATTCAATTGAATCCAAAGCAGTAAACAATGACTTCAGAGGACAGATTATGAAGTAAACTGGCAAAAGCTGCTTTTTCTTGATTTACACAGTCAACCTTTTTCCAAACTAACAATAAAAACTGTCCTGAACTGCCCTTTGCTTTAAGATTGATCAATCTGGACCTCATGTATGACTTTGAATGGGATCAACAAATGAGTGTGACCTGTTTAAAGTCCTTTTCGGTCCCTAACTGTGAGTGATAATCACACTTTAAACTTTGACAGGGCAGATCTGAGTTTGTAACAGAATTGATGACGGGCAAACAACAAATATATCATTATAAATCATCATATCAAAGTTTTTTGGTACAGTTCAGAGAGGATGCTGCAGTGACAAATGGGCCAAAAATATGCAGTCATCCTTTCAATAATAAATGGATCTGCAGAAGGAGTAGTCAAACATTTGTTCTGTGCTTCAGTTATTTTAACAGTGAGCAGAATTCTGTTCACATTTTTCTAATTTCTCTACAACTAATATTTAATTTATGAGCCATCCTTCTTTCGCTGCTCGGTGACAGGAAACACACTGGACAGTTTAGCCGCAACCTTAGGGCAGAGTCAGCGCTCAGCAGGGAAGTGATATTACTCAACCAGCAATTGTTCCCTTCATCTCCCAGGCAGATGCTGATATATTTGCCATTGTGTGGTAATACGTACCGTATTTCCATGTGCTGACATCTTCACGTGCTGGATATGTCAGCAGCTGGAGCCCTTCCAGCTAAGTAGCCTCCCTGGAGAGCAGATTTATCATAATCCTCTCAAAATCAGAGTCCTAAAACCTGGTTTTCATGGTGTGCCTTCTCAACTTTAGATCCTCTGGAGTCTTTTGCTGACGATAAAGGGCTAAATTTCATATTAGAAAAGTTGAAGACCCTAAGTGGTAGAATATCTTTTAGATTTCCCTGCTCTGACCCAATAAACTTGCAGTCTGAATATATCCCCCAGTCATAATATGGGCTACTTTTTGAGTCTCACATTTTTTAGATGCAGGAATCTTAAAGATTTGCTTACATTGAGTTTTTATACCAGACTCCTCATCCTCATTCCTCTCTCATCATTTGTCATAAATTTAATTTACAAGCATGTGGAGCCCACTGACAGACTGATGATCATAGCACACTTTCTTCGTCAGCCTTGAAGTCTGTTTTTTTTTTATTCCTCCTCTAATCCTTCTTTTTTCTCCCCCTCGCTCCATTTCCTCTGCCCCCACAGATACTAAAGCTGAGCTATAACAAGCTCAGAGAGATTTCTTCATCTTTGACCTTCTCTGGCCTGACCTCACTCCTGCGGCTGTACTTGGATCACAACCATCTCCAGCACATCCACCCCCGGGCCCTGCTCCAGCTGCCTAGCCTCAGGCTGCTACGTCTGCAAGGGAACAGGCTGCATCAGCTGCACCCACACACTCTGTGCACTCTGTCTCTGCTGAATACTTATTACTTCTCCACACTCAGGTGAGCCTGAACACTTAGAGCACATCATGTAATATTAAAAGCAGGGGAAGATATAACATTTTCAGCGTTGGTTTGCATATTAGTGGGTATAAACGGTGAGGGTAATGAAAAACGCTGACTTGTTGTCTTTAAAGAGTTTACAACTGCAATGAACTCAAATTCAAGTAAATCCATTTCATTCAAAGTTATTTCTAATCCTAAAAGGCTGGTGCATTAATTATATCCTAAATTAAATGATGTTTGATCCTGACAACCAAAATGATTGATAAAATTGATCAATTTGTGACTAGTTTGATAAGTTAATAATTCATTTCTTCTTCAGTGTTACTAATAGCTTCATAGACTGACAAACCTCATACAGATACTCTACAGCCTTGCTCCTCTTACATTACTAGTCCGAACATCAGACATGGATGAGAATGATAAAAATGATGGATGATTCCGGCCTGACCCGTCACCTCTCACTGCCTCCTCCCTCTCGTTTCATTCATTACTCCATTCCTCTATGACTTTGATTCAACCTCTGACTTTGTCCCACCTCCTCCTTATCTCAATTTTGTCTTTCCTCATGTAGACACCTCGACTTATCCAACAACAGTCTGACCAGTCTGCCCAGTGAGACCATAACCACAGCACCTCTGCTGGAGACTCTTGTACTGCAGGCCAATCCATGGAGCTGTGACTGCAGGATGAATTGGTTTCTCACGTGGAGTCTTGCTCATCCAGGTGAATGTAATATCTTGGAAATCACGTGGTTTGATGTCTTGCTCTTTCTTTTAATGTGCTAAAGTGATTAACAGAAAGAGATAGAGGGGTAAAACGAAACAGAAATCAGAAGCAGAAGACTCTTATATTGATGATTTACGTCTGTAAACAACCTAAGGAGAGTACCATAAGTCAAATCCAGACAGGTGATATGAAAGTGGCCATCTAGTGTTGTTATCTTGGTCCTTACACCTGCTTTTTATCACACAGTCCTCTCCTGTTTCCCTCTTTTATCTGCATCTCCTCCAGTCAGTCTTGATGCTGTTATTGAGATGTGAAAGAAGACCAGACCGGAAAATGTGTCTCATTGATATGCTTGAATTAACCTGCCGTGACTAATCCACGATGACAGCATTGATGTGTGCAGGCAGATGAAATATAGGCTAATGATTGGTGTGTTGAAATAAAGTGATGCAGATTTCTGATTTATGAGAAGATGAAGTAACCATGTGAAATTGGCATGAGATATAAAGGGTAATGGATGCTCGAGAACAGCCGGCATGACTAATGTATGGCAGTATTAATATGTGCAGATAGCTGAAGTGTGCACTAATATGTTTGTAGCGTGTTATCGTTTCACATACAAAGATAGCAGGGCTGCCTCTGAAACAAATGCCCCTCTTTTTCTACTCCCATAGGGTTGATGAAATGTCCTGGTGGGCTTCAGTGTCCAACATGTGCTTCACCAAAATCCCTCCAAGGACAGGGCTTGTTTGATCAAATGGAACTATCATGCAACCTGCCTGTTATCCCCTCCCCTGGAAGAGACAAACCTTTAGAGACTGAACTCAGTGAGATCCAGTCAAGAGAATCCTTCAGAGAGCCTTTAGGCACTGCCTCTTTGAGTCTGTCTGACCAACAAGGGAACAGCGTTGATCTAAGATGCAACATCACGCACTCTCCTGATTCCCAGGATATTGCTCCTCCTCCAGATCTTTCCCTCTCCTCCTCTGCTCCTCTCCCCCTTGCTTTGTCAGTCTCTTTGGATTGCCCTGTGGAGAGGCAGAGCTATGAGCATCTCTGGAGGATCCTAGCTTACTACAGTGAAACTGCTGTACGCCTGGAGAGGGAGATCATGCTGAGTAAAGCCCCAGAACTGGCCTACCGTTACAGGCAGACAGCAGAGAGTGATGGGTATTATCACACTGGGGTCAGAGCTTCTGTTAAAGCCAGGCCGCAATGGTTGCTACAGCCTGCAATTAGTTTCCAGCTTAACAGAGCACAGTCTAATGGAATCAAAGTTCAACTCATTTATTCAACAAGAGTTACTGCTCACCCTGACCCAATTTCTCATTCGCCAACACCCTCCTCTACTTTTCACCCGTGGGCACTGATTTCAACCAATCATACCACCACAGCACTGGCAGCAGTAACAGGCAGTAAAGTGGAGCTGCCATGTCCTCTTCTGAGCTCTTCTAACCCAAAAGTAGAGTGGCTTGTACCTGATGGATCCAAGCTCATCGTCCCATCCAACAACCTCGATAGCCGGCTTTTTGCAACAACCTCAAGTCTACTGATTCAGAGAGTTCAGATGTCAGATGCCGGGATCTACTATTGTGTGGCACGAGCAGGCAGGGATGTAGATGTCCTCCCTCTGCGCCTGGCAGTTGAAGACTCTGCAGTTCCACCCTCAGGAGAGCAAGTCGGACCCCTTATCAAGGGGGCCGTTGGAGAACCTGTAAGCCTGTCTTGTAAGGCCTCTGGATCACCAACACCTTATTTAAGTTGGGTATTACCAGATGGAAACATAGTTCGGCAAGGAGTAGCTGTTTCAGGTGGAGTTCTACTACAATCCAATGGGAGTCTTTCCCTGCCCAAACCCTCTCAGAGGGACGTCGGTCATTACCGTTGTATTGCAGTCAACCAGTATGGCAGTGACTCCTTGTCAATGCAGCTGGAGTTAAAGTCACAACATCCCCCTTCACTTAGGACTTCATTCCCAAGAGGGCCACAGTCAGCAGCTGGCCGTTCAACCAGAATACGAGCTCCATTACTTAGTCAAGTGGAGGAAGGATCAGGTGATGAAGAGGATGAAGAAGAGAGAACTATTGTTAGCAATAGAAAGCGTCCAAGGCCTCTCCAACCTCTACCAAACAGACGGCATCCCACCGGACAACCCAGAGGACGTGGGTTTACAAGAGAGAGAGAAGGCCCTCTGAGAAGAGGAGGAAGGCCTGAATCACCCCCTGACATGAGGAGAAACCGCTTTGAAAATAGACATAGAGTTTCCACAAACAAACAAAGAATAGATCCTCAGAAATGGGCTGATCTCTTGGCTAAAATACGACAAAAGACTACCCAGACTGCCAACAACAGCCAGCCCATCCTAGAGGAAACAGCAGGAGCTGAAGAGGAGGAAAGAAGCAAAGGTGGGAACACAGGCCGACAAGAGGGAGATGATGATACAGATAAAGGTAGAGCTGAAGGTTCAGAAGAGGAGTCAGAGACTGAAGGGTCCACTGTTGATGAGGATGATGTGAAACAGGAAGGCCCACAATCTGTTCCTGCTGTTTTCACAGAAATGCCAACACACACCAGAACAAAAACAGACACAGTGATAAAAACAGAGACAGATAGGTCAACAGAAACACAGACTGATACAGAGAATGAGACAGAGACACATAAACACACAGAAAAAGCTCTTCTGCCGACAGAGGCTGTAACAAACCCAGAGACACAGCAAGAGCAAGTCACATCAAAACCAATCATGGGAACAAATGAAATTGTCCCAGAAACAAGCAAGAGAAATGAGCTGGAAGTAAACCCCAACCTTCCTACTATCAGGCCTCAAAAACCACTGCAGGGTCTCTTCCCTAATTTGGTGCCAAACTCACGGCCACAAAGTCCCTGGAACTCTCGCAGGCGGATCGGACAACGAAGACGAATCATGAACAGGCCAAGAGGGCGAACTTTGAGTCCACCTCAACCTCTCCCTGACCATGTGAACCCAAGGCCACGACCTGACACTACCACAGATCCAGATTCGTTATTGCTGGTGTCAACAACCACATCTTCAGCTGCTTTAATTAATCCTCCCTCTCCCTCCGTCTCTAACAATCTTGGCATCTCCATCCCAAAAGCTGACTCCCCCTCAGTGACTCTCTCTCCTTTCTCTCCCACATCATTATCCTCCTCTCACACAAAGGCCCATATAGACTTGATGACTCATTCAGCCAACATCCCAGACGTTGCAGAGACGGATCTCTTCAGCACTCTGATACCATCGCTCTCTCACTCTGACATCTTGGTCACAGAGACACATGTGCCAGACACACATGTTAACACACATACACAAAATATGTGGGGTAAACATGCTGAAAGACCACCAACCAAACACACTGAAGAGCTGGAGAGGAATTCACCGGATGTAACATATGTTTTCCAGCCCTCCTCTTCTGTGTTGCCCACTTCCTCCTCCGCTGCTTCCGCCACAGACCCCAGCGCCGTGACAACTGTGATCACTGCTGTAAAAATAACACCGTCCACTTCTCATTCTGCTAGATCTGCAAGCACTGAAAGAACTACATTTACCACAACAGATAGGGAGGATACACTTTCACTAACAACTGCATTTAGTCCTATCATGTTTACTAAAGGCCCCATTAATACTCCAAAATCTAGCACTACCAGCAGTACAACTACTCTTACCTCTACTACGACTACTACAACTCCTATTTTAACCTCTACTACTCCCACAACCACTACCACGTCAACCAGCCACTCTACTACTTTAACTACTACAACAACTGCAGCCACTAGTACTACAGTCCCATTTAAAGCTGTTCCAAGAGTTCCAGACTCAACTACTACTACGACTTCAGCAACTACAAAAACTTCAACTCCCACAACAAGCAGTACACTTAAACTCTCAGCCAAATCTCCTCCAACTACAACACAAGCAGCTACATCCAGTGCCTCCACCACTGCTGCAAGAACAACATCGACAAGTACTGCAGCATCATCCATACAGAGGCCCAGCGTGGGTCAAGTGGACCCCAGAGGGAGGCCTGTGTCAGGGGCTCCAAACCAGAGTCGGACCCCCACTGAATGGAAGAACCCTGGGGCTAACTCTATCCCTGATTCACACAGCAGCAGACCACATCGCCCCCCCTCTTCTCCACTCCCTGGGGTGAGTTCAGATCAATTAAAATAACACATTACTGCTATTTCGTGGATAGCTTTATCCAGAATGGGTCTTAAAACAGCCACATAGATCACAGCGAAACTAAGAGTCAAGCTTGACTATAAATTGGTCTTTATTTGGAGATTAATGACTATATATTTAAGGTAGCCTCTCTTTCTGCCGTTTCCATCAGCTCGTCATTAAAATACTCATTACACTTAAACGTTTGCTGTTCTTAAATATAGTAGAGATATTTTCTTTATTGACAGCTAAAGGGAACTTAACATTTCTTTGAAAGTACTACATAATAAAATGCAAATACCCGCACACTAATACACACACATAACTACAGACTCTGTGAAGCCTGGGGCAACAGCTTAGCAGAAATGCACAATACATCTAAAGATAGTCTAATCCGTATTCGCACAACCTGGTGTGAAACCTGAGGGATGCTTTTGACAAATCTTTGATTTCACAGATTTTCCAGTGAAGTAAAGAAGAGATGAACACATGTTCTATAATTAACAACATTAAGCGCTATGAGAGCCTGATCTCCTGGGATTTAAAATAAATAAATAAATTTAAAAAATCAATTGTTAATTAATGCCTAAAGTTTTGTAGGCAAGCTTAAGCAGAGCAACCCTCTGAGTGTAGCGTCGATGACTCTAATACAAGGATCACAGTGGGGGTATTAAGAGTGTGATCCTACTCCTCCACATCTACACAATGCTGCAGTCTCTGGAATCGAGAATCAGGCTTCTCATGAAAAAACAGTCTGAGGTTTTGATTGTTTCACTAAGTCCAGTGCTTTTGTTTGATATGTACACTATAGTGATATTGTGGTTTGCTATTTTTGCATTTAATCATCTCAATTATTTCATCAAATGCTGCTGTATGCTGTTCTAAAATTTTAATCAGAAGTTTTTACAAGCTAAAGAAATTTTAGTAGTCATGGAATCCTGATTATGTTGTAACATATTTTATTATTTTATTGCAGCATTAATAGCCACTACAATCTGGTTCTGTAATCTTTATCATAGGCTCCAGTTGTGAGATCCAGACCAAGGATTGCAGACCCACACATCAGGACAACATCATTTCCAGCAGAGAGTACTGCCAGGCTGGATTGTGAAACTCAGGGAGAACCAAAGCCCACTATCACATGGACCAAAGTCGCAACAGGTAAACCCAGTGCAGCAAATTCACTCATGGTGATATACACCCACTCACATACATATAAATCCACATGAAGGAAACTACATGCCTTGGAGTACATATATTTAACTGTGATCAGGGTTATTTTCAGTAGAGGTTTAGAATAAATAATCCATGAGGTCTGTCAAATCTGGTTCACTGACTGATGTAAGATCTTAGCAAAGATTTCCACATAACTGTACAGACCCCGTCTCACTGAGCAGGCTCCATGTTTTATTTTTGATTGTGCTGTGAGGAAAAAAAAATATGGCATATTTTTTCATCCAGAGCAATCCGTCTGAATCCTTGACATGTCTTTAATTAGAAACTACAGACTGTAGAATACAGAACACATGAAGATGTGGATTTTCTACAAGGTTTGAAGGAACTGATTGGAACATTTCTGAATATGAACTCATTTGACACTAATGAAATAACCCATTAACAACCAGCATTGCGCACTGGCACTCACACAAAAGTCTTTTCTCTTGCTTTCCATGTGGGAAAGGCATATTGAGAGAAAGTAATGGAACAGTTTGTGCATTGCATCACTGCCTTTACTTCACGCTGTGCCACTCGCCATGTCCCCAATCCTCCTCTCTCTGTCTCTTACTCACTCTACAGCTTTCTTTCCTAATTTGTCTCCGTCTTCCCTCCCCTGTTCTATGTCTTCATTTCTACTTTCTCCTTTGCTGTCCATCTGCCTGACTGTCTCTCTCTCTCCGTCTTTCTCTGTCTTTCAGGAGCAGTGATGTCAATCCACTCCAGGGCTCAGCGGTTTGAGGTTTTGCCAAATGGCACCCTTGTTATCCAGAATGTTCAGCTGCAGGACAGGGGCACATACATCTGCAGTGCACACAGCTTTCTGGGTCGTGACAGGTGAGGGTTCTGCTACCTGCTATGAATATTGATGCAGTGTATACTGAGCTATTCAGTTATAATGACCATGAGAGACAATATTTCTAGTATAAATTATGGAAGCCTGAAGCGTGCTGCAATTTAATTACTGGGTGTAATGCATGTTTTGTTGCTATTCTCCCCACTTAATTTGCGAAACAAATTAATCTTTTTAAGAGCAAACACACTTGGACCTACTTGAATAATAATATTCAAGCAGCCCGGAGCATTGTGTAATTTTCACTCTCTATAAAATCTGTTGATACAATTTAGTTTTTAATTTCATGTGACACTCAATGTATCAGGGGAACTTGAATGGATCATTTCCCTGTGGTGATTCTTTAACACGCTGTACAACATTCAAAGTTGTGTTTTCATTTAAAATGTGTTTTTTGACATGCTGGAAATCTGTTTGTGCACTCCTGTAAACAAGACGGTTTGACACTGTGTTTGTGCCCCACAAAACAAAGGCTAAGTACAAATAAGAAGTAAAAGATGTTTTGTTGGTGTTTTACTCTAAAAACATGTTAACCTTCTTTGGTGGAAATATACTTGATGTGCCTTTTTCAGCTGTAAAGTCACATGAAAATCTCTCTTTTAACTATTTAATCCCACCAGAGTAAATCTTAGAGCAGCACTTCCCTTGAATTGCGTTTTAAAATAGGGGTTAAATATGGGGTTTGTTGTTGTTTGAATGTCTATTTGCTGGACAAATTTGGTTTCTTAGGTGCAAAAAACTCATCGTTGCCTAATTAAATTTATATAACAGGCAGCAAAAAGTCATAAGGGAATGCCTTTATATGACAACACTTCCCATGATTCTTGGTTACTTAGCACATGTTTGCTTTCCGGATGTTTCCCAAATGTGTCAGATACCATTTACAGTATTTGTTTTTCTTTCACATGTCTATTTGAAAAGCTGCAAATTTATTTATGCATTTCTGTTTGGCTAAGTGTCTGCTTACCCACCATGACAGATTGCTAACCACCCTGGAGGTATGGACCCGTCCCCCTCGGATGAAGCTGGCCAGCTACAGAGAAGCCACCATTCATCAGGGTGGAGAGCTGCACTTGGAGTGCCAGGCGGATGGCGTTCCCACGCCTCTGCTCTCTTGGGTTCTACCTGATCGTTCTGTCGTGACCTCCACTTCCCCCTCCCACAGTCGCATCCGTATGGACACAAATGGAACCCTTCACATCTCAGTAACATTACCCAGTGACAGAGGAGTATTTCGCTGTGTAGCCTCTAATTCAGCGGGCGCTGCCAGTGCCTCTGTGCGTGTACTGGTGTCCTCTTTGCCTCCAGTAATACAGCAACCAAGAGATGAGAAACTACTCTTGTCTCCAGGATTGCCAGTCTATGCTCACTGCTCTGCCCGAGGTGCCCCACCACCCATCCTGCGCTGGAGAATCCCAGATGGGACTCTAGTTCGTCCATCCCAGTTTCTGCACGGTAATCTTTTTGTTTTGCCCAATGGGACTCTGCATATTCGCAAAGTTGGGCCTAAAGACTTAGGGCATTATGAGTGCACAGCAAGTAATGCTGTAGGGGCTGATAAGAGAACAGTGAGGGTAGAAATTCAAGGACAACAGAACGGAGCAAGACCACCTCTTTCCTCTTCTTCTCTCCATGAAGAAAGAAAGCTGTTGGTCCCCAGCCAGCCCTCAAATCCACCCGCGCTCTCCCCTCCATTGCTCTTTGATAGATCCGGGAACTTGCACCACTCCCCCAGCTCCCCTCGCTCATCTTTTCACCCTCACAAACCCAATCCCACTAACTCAACTCGCAAAATCAATAAAGCAGTCACTGCTTCCCCCACACACTTGGCCTACATCAACAAAACACCCTCCAAAGTGTCAACAAATAACACCAGAGTCTCAATCGGCATTGTAAACAACACAAGAGTTACTTCTCCCTCCTCAGATAAAAGCAGAGCCTCTGCTGCTCTGCCTTCCTCGCCCGTATCCCCTTTCAGTAAAGCCCGAATCGTTTCTACAGCACCCTCAATCAGTACTGTTCACTATGGGGGGATTTTGCAGCTCCACTGTTCTGTAATTGGCAACCCAACACCCATCATCATTTGGAGGACTCCCAACAGGAAACTGGTGGATGTCCATTTCAGGTACACCTGATCCTGCTGGCTGTATCATTATGTCTTTACATTATCAAGCAGGTATTGTTCAGAGCTTTTCATTTTTCTGTGTTTGTCAACCTTTGAATTACAGTTTTGACCCAAGGCTGAAGGTGCATCCTAATGGCACCCTGTCAGTTCTGGCAGTCACAGAGAAGGATGCCGGAGATTACCTCTGTATTGCACGCAACAAGGTCGGAGATGATTACCGCCTCCTGCGTGCCTCTGTGGCTACCAAACCAGCTAAAATCGAACCCAAGCAGCCTCTCAATCAGATGGTGTTGTTTGGAAAATCACTGAAGGTGAGCAAAGATTGATTTTCAAGCCCTGCTTAGGTCTTGACTAGGACCTTTTGCCAATCAACCATATTCCAAAGGAGAGCATCTACTTGTAATGTCATGCTCAAGGATGGGGAGCTCAAAACCTGTTATCCCATCTCACTGCTGTGTCCTAGGTCAACATTAGCACCTCTAATGCAGCTGTCTATTGCAGTTTTAAACCAGGATCTTGTTTGACATGACATGACAACAGTTTTGAGCTTCCCATCCTGAGAGTGACTTCACATTCAGATGGCCAGAGTGGAAATACAGTCTAAAATTAAAGTTATCTGTCACATTTAGAGAAGCAGTTGCCTGTTACCCGATCCATAGATCTAATGTGTAAGCATTTATATTCTTGGATTCAGACTACAGCTTCAAACAACCAATCTCCAACATCTCTGTTTTTAAGCTTTAAGAGGCTCTGCTGTGTTCTACCAGTGATACGTGTTGGCTGCCTGCTATCATTGGGTGTTGTGCCACAACAGTCTTGGTTGTTTTTTTGATTAATAATACTGCGTGTTGGGTGACTCAAAAAGAACAGAAAGACCTGTCAGGTCATAGCCGGTATTGAGTCATCATCTGCAGCCTGCAGGGAATAACACACACAAACATGAATATTTAACAGCTCAATGAAAAATAATGTCAAACCGGGTAAAATGCAAGAAAAAGGGCACTGTATTATAGTTGGAATTAGTTTCTCTTCCTTTTCTGTTGTATTTATACATTTATGAGCTTCAAATGGTGCTCTTTGGATGCATCAATTGCCAGAAGCTTTTTACACTGTCAGTTTCTATTTTAAGGGGCAGAATTCAAGCCAACAACAGGCTAAATATGGAGTACAGTACATATTACTCCTAACAGGAGTAGATCATGTTCATTTCAAATTAAATAAACGCCCTAAACATGTTTGAACTGTTGCATTTTTCCTGTGCCCTGCAGGTGGACTGCCAGGCATCAGGGCTGCCTGACCCAGCAGTCCGTTGGAGCCTACCAGATGGAACCATGGTGAATAGTGTGCTGCAGGGGGAAGAAAGAGGAAGGCGAACACGGAGACTAACGGTGTTTGATAATGGGACATTACTGGTTCCAGAAGTGGGTATGGGAGAGGAAGGAGAGTATACATGCTATGCTGAGAATCAAGGAGGTAAAGACACCATGAAGGTAAGACAATCATGTTCCTCCTAATTTTCTTAGTAAAAGTCCAATGATTTGTTCATTCTATGAATTTAAGATAAAACTAAAGAAAGTCAAGTTATTTGATTCTGTCATTCTTATTCAACCCTGTAAGGTCAAAGTCAAGATTATGATGACATCCCCACCAACCTTCGTCAATGACAGAAGCCACAATGTCATCAAAGTACATCAGGGGGCCACTGCTACCATTCCCTGCCGGGCCACAGGAGATCCTGCTCCAACTGTGACATGGTTTTCCCCATCACGACGTGTCATCCCTCAGAGTCTGGGATCTGGATTTTACTCTGAGCGGGTTGTCGTGGTTTCAGGTGGAACGCTGGAGGTACGACAGGCTCAGAAGATTGACACGGGAAACTATACATGCAGAGCAAGCAACTCGGCAGGGGACAAGAGCATGGTTGTAAGCCTGGAGGTGGAGTCTCCTAACTATGGACTGGGCAGCCATGTTGGAGGAAGAGGTTGGAGTACCAGCAATGGGCAAGGCATTAGATCAGGGGATGATAAAAGTGGGCCCATAAACAAGCTTGGTGGTAAAAACAGCAACAATAATGCTTATAGTGATGCTAATGGAAGGTTTGGGAATATTGTGCCAAACACTGGTGGCAGCTCAGTGCCCAGCAGCTTAAATCCTGCTCAAACTGGGAGCAGTAGAGATGCATTTAACAGGCCTAACAGTGGAATAACAACACAACTTGGTAGCAGTGTAATCTCTATCGGGGTGAGTGGTGCTAGCAATGTAGGCTTTAAAGCAGATAACACAGGAACAAACAGAAACGGACCAAGCATCACGAGTAGGATTAGTAGTGCAGGGAACAGTCACAACACAGTGAGAGGAAATATTGAGAGGAATTCTGGGACTTATAATAATGAAGTCATAGCAGGAAAGAGTAGCAGTGATGTTAGCAGCATCTCAAGAAGTGTTGGAGTTTCCAGCAGCAGTGTTGGGATCAGCAGTGGTAGCAAAATTGGAGGGATTAATGCTCATGCTAGCCCAGCTGCTGGTGGTACAGGTGCTAAAAACTCTACTAACACACCTACGGGTACAGTAACAACTGTGAAGCAGCGAGCAGTGAAAGGCCAAACAGTTATTTTGTCATGCCCCTCCCAAGGTTCCCCTCCTCCACGACTAGCCTGGCTTCTGCCTGGTAACGGTGTGTTGCCATCTCCTTATTATGGCAGCCGACTCACCGTACACCGAAATGGGTCTCTAGAGCTGCGAGGTGTGCGGGCAAGTGATAGCGGCACTTTGGTTTGTGTGGTTAGAGGTGAGCGTGGAGAGACAAGGATACAGGTTGAGCTTGAGGTCTCTGAGGCATCTACATACGGGGTACTGAATGGGGATAGAACCCTGCAGAGAAGTTCTAGTGTGAATGAAGTGCCACACCAAAGAATTCCAGTAACCCAAAAGCCGCCACAGAGGGGTCCTTCTTTGCCTGTTGTACCTCCTCCAGTTGTCCCTCCACCTGGCCGCACTGGGCCAGCCTCAGAGCCAGCAGTGGTCACCAAAACCGCTCCCTTGGTTAGCATTATTAATGGAGAAACTCTTCGCCTGCCTTGCCCTACCTCTCAAAACAATGGATACTCTCAGGGTTCTCTCTCTTGGACCATGCCCAGTGGCAAGGTACTTTTTCTGGGCGAGAGCAGTGACGCAGGCCAGTATGTAGTCCAAAGAGATGGAATGCTAACAGTGCAGCAAGCATCCGTGTTTGACCGAGGCACCTACACCTGCAGATCCACCGGTTTCAACTCCCCCTCAGCTTCAGTCCTCACTGTTCCTGTCATTGTCATTGCTTACCCCCCTCGCATCACAAAAGGCCCTGCCCCTGTGACCTACACAAGACCCGGTGTTGCTGTGGAGCTGCCATGCCTGACCATAGCAACCCCCAGGGCGGTAGTCACCTGGGAGACACCAGACCTGACACAGCTGACGGTTATGGGTCAGGCCCGTATCTATGGCAACCGCTACCTTAGTCCACAGGGTTCCTTGGTGATACAGAACCCAACAAGTAGGGATACAGGATTTTACAGATGCACCGCAAAAAATGTAATCGGAGTGGACACCAAGGCAACCTACCTGCATGTTATATAAAGAAGTCAAGAGACAAACACACACTCACACACAAACAAAGAAACATGCAGAAAAAAAGAGACCCGACCAGACCTCTGTGTTGGCGAATGAACTCCTCTGCTGTTAACACTTCAAGTCCAACAAGCCCAAAGGAACTGCAAGAAACTGTTAAAATCTTTGAAAGACACTCCTAAAATACAAGTATACGCCTCATTTTTGTATTTTAACATATGTCAATACTGTACTTTTTCACCTGAATTTACAATGTGGTGCATTTTTGTCTTTGTTATATAATACTTTGGCCTCAATTTTTGTTTTATTGACTTGGTGATACACCATTTACATCTGAACACTGCTTTCTTTCTCACTGGGCCATAACACAAGACAGTGAAGTCAAATACACAAATATATAAGTGTTGTATAAAGGTAAAAAAACTAGAAAGTGAATTTTATGAGTTTCTTTCCCCCTGGTTGACATTAAGGTTTGGAAAGAAACACAATGCTAAGAATGAAATGATCACAATTATGCCACTAAAACATTGCTTTAGAGAAAATTAGCCCTAAAGCTACTAGGCTTTTACCCTGGAGGAAGAAAATGTTGTTTTTATGGCATCCTTACCCTTGTGAACAATTTTAAAAGTACACCAAATCCAGGGAACAAAACATTCATTTTGGTACTGTTAAACACACAAGTGCTTTACTTGGCTGGATTCTTATATTTTCTTACTTTGTGCAATCATCTGTTAACAATCACAGTTTTACTAAACTCACTCTGTGTTCACTTTTTTATTTATGTTGGATTTTATTTTTTTGCAGTGCAGATGTAGCAAATCTGAATGAACAGCCTTGTTTGCATCACGTACACGTTTAATCTTTAACAGATATGATGACTGACGGATGCAGCTCCATGATCCAAACTAACACCAGCTTATTCAAGACTTTCTCAGACTTGTTTACATATTTTCGGACTTACTTGTGCGATCTAAACCTCTGCAAATATTGTTCTACCAGCATCGTCTGTATCTTGTAGCTTTACGGCACTATTGGAGCAGAATGAGATATGGTAAAGAAGCATCCATGTAAGCACAGTAACCTTTGAAGACTGCTCTTGTGGTTATTTTGATTTTATCGACTGTATAAATGTGCGTGAAATTCAAAAGCTTGTCCTAAGCTTGTGCGCAAAGCCAGCAGCTTATAGCTACTATGTTTCCTCCTCTTATGTTTTTATTTGTGCTTAAGTTATTTGTCTTGTAAAGACTCTTTTGTAAGACACCGGTGTTTTGTCCTAAAGGGAGATTTTATTAAATATTATGTACTGTGTTTGATGTCTCACTCCTTAACAAGGAATTCCTGCTATATTTCTCACACTTTTATTTTGTGAATAAAAATGGAAAGACTCAGGAGTTTTTACTGATGCACAGTTCTGTTTGGCAAACATACAGTGTGTGTGCTTGTGCGTGTGTGTGGAGGCAGTGAGAAAGGAAAACACCCAGTGGGAGGGCAGGGGTGAGGAAGGACACTTTTTCTTTAGTATATTATGAGAACAGAGACCGTTTATCCCCACTTCAGCTGTCAAACCAGGAAATGGGTTCTTAACTGTAGATGAGACACATGTTGATGACATCATGGTCCTCTCCCTGGGAAATGCAATAAAACTAACAGCAGCCTGCAGAGCAACAGCATGCACCACCCTGTGCTTACACCTGGCAAGTGTTTGCAGTGTTTGCTCTGAGTACACACAACACTCATAAAATACCAATACTCTGATTTACTCATTCAGTCTAGGGGCTGTGCACTGGTTGGAGCACTTATTAAACCACAAGCATGAAAGGAAATAAGGCAGCTGTTTAAAATGATGCAACCCATGTGAAAGTGTCTGTCATGTACAGTAAACTGTCAACCCATCAGGAATAGTCAACATTGATTAACTCTCTATCATTGTTTTTTAAATGTAATTCATGCTGCTTATGACCACTTCTTTCTATTTTGCTTTGCAGTTATAGGCAAATAGAACCAAACTCAAAACTTTGATATTTAATCCTGGAAAAAAGCAATTTAGTGTTTTATTCAACATATTAATACCGCATGGAAAAAAAAATTGGTAAAAACTTTATTTGACGCCTGTCTCTATAATGCATTATAAATATATGTATGTGTTATACATATATTTATGTTATGGCACTGTATAACTATTGATAAAAACACTTATAAATGATCATAATGCTTTATAGCAATAATCATAACACATTATAAAGCATTTTATCATGACTTACAAGGTCAGGTATGATAATGTGTTGTAACCGTTGACAACTTACTGACGATGCCCACATAGATAATACAGTATACATATATTTATGATGTGTTATAATCTGCTTATAAACATGTATAACTATCATTATAAACACTCATTAATTATCATAAGGCTTTATAACAATAAGCATAACACATTACAATACCTGCCCTTGTAATTCATGATAAAATGCTTTATAATGTGTTATGATTATTGCTATAAAGAATTATGATCACTTATGAGTGTTTATAACTATAGCTATACAGCACTATAACGTTATTATAATGTATTATACATATATTTATAATGCATTATAGAGATAGGAGTTAAATAAAGTGTTACCAAAAAGTCTTATTAATCAAAATGTCCCTTTAAAGAAACAAAGAGATGATACAATACAAACAGCAAAATTTGAAGCTAAATTCTAAGTGGACAGTTTAATATAAGCTTACAGTGCTGTGCTGTATAATGAAGACACAGCAGATCACTGACCTCATAGAGTGTCAGTGTTAACACTTGGTTCTGCACAATGCACAAGTTGACTGATGGTTCAAACATACACTATGTGACACCACAGCCCCTCTCCTCTGGATTTATCTACCAGTGGAGATGCAGTGTGCAGACACCATCTCCACCTTTAAAAGTAGCCTCAAAATGTTCCTCTTTGATAAAACTCATAGTTAGAGCTGGTTTAAGCTTGGGTCAGCTCTTTGTAATGTTGCTAAAAGTTTAGGCTGATGGGGGACCTGAGCACCTTTCCCTCCTTCTCCAACCTCTTTCTGTCTATATCATTAACTTTAAATCATCATGTCCCATTAGAGTCACAAACACAGTCTTTTCTGGGAGTCCCTGAGCTCCATTCCCCTGGATCACTTCTGCAGACGTTTTGCTGACATTTACCTGTCTGCTTTCCAGCTGTTTAAACTACAAGCATCAATCTCCTCTCTGTCCTTCTCTCTCTTTCTCCATCTCCCTCTCTCCCCTCTTTAAACCCACCTTAGTATCAGCGGATGACTATCTATAAGTCTGGTCTTGTTCAAGGTTTCTGCCTGTTTTTCCTCTCCATTGTAACTTGCTTAAGTGTTTTACTCATGTGGATGAGGATAGGATGGGAGAGGGTCTGATATTGCAAGATGGGGCTCAATCTAATCCAATCTGGTCAAGAGCAGCTTTTTCTTAAAGCATTCTTAGACGATATTTGTTGTGAAATCCCGCCCTCTCTCTCTCTACCAGTTCACATGTACAGCTTTATCGGACTAAGCTCATAATTCGTTTCACCAAATCGGACTTCTCTCCTTGTCCGCTGCGAAAATCAAATAATTGACCTGAACGTGTCCTCTTCCCCAAAACTAGGGGGTGATATCACAATACAACTGTCAACAACAACAGCAGGTCCGCGCCAGATGTCAGAAGTGGCTACAACCGCCGCTGGGCATTTTCAAGCAAGAAGACAGGGCATTGTACCGTGTTGTTTTTGTCGTACATGATGTGCATGCTACTTTTTCTGCAGATGAGATGCACGCTACTCCTCTTCTCTGGTGTTTCATGCCCACATGCATTGTCCAATCATACTCCGACTCTGCTGGTTACATGGTAGAGAAAATCGAATTCCATTCACATTATCTGGGTGTCTTTATCGGAGTTCTCAGGCTCCAGTCAGAGTTCTCAAACTTCGATTATAGTCGGACTAAGGGGTTTACATGCGCTTCAATTGTCTGGTCTTAATCGGAATAAGGCAATAATTCGGTTTTCTCAAGTGTCATGTAAACGTACTGACTGACATCTCCTCTGGAAATCTTTTCTTTATAGATCTTGACCTGTACATGCTGAGGTATCTTTCTATCTTTTAACATCCAAACATCCCATTTTTTTGTGGATATTTGCAGAGAAAAAAGCATAAAGGAAAAACTGACTCTTCAGCTTGTTGATATTCGTCTTATGTGTCATTTGTTCCCATTTCAGCTGCATTTACAAGCATCAGAAATTACAAAATTAACCATTAAACTGCTGTTTGCTTTCGGGGGGCCATGGGCCTCCAAAAGCATCTCTCGTAATTCTAGCGTGTTGCCAAAGGACTTCCTAATCAAATCACTTACAACAGATGTTATTTGTTGGGACTGTGAGATGATGTTGGATCATGGGAACTTTGATTTTCAACCACCACACTTGCTAACATAAAAACAATTTCCAATGACACACAAATGCTCTATTTGTGTTACTGACAGCTGTATCTTTTTACATTATATTGCCTTATTTGACCAAACCTCCTTAAAGTTAAAATCCCCCTAGTTCTAGCACATCATTCGGGGTTTCCCATGGTTACCCTGAAAATGGGACCAAATAATATAAAACACAAAAAACGTAATTAAAAAGTTAATGGTGGGAACAGTTTGGATAATGTGCGACGATCAACCAAATACAAAACATGTTAAATACCTTATCTTTGATAACAGATACTGTATAGAGGATAAGTTACATCTGAAGGCATACTTTAAGTCTTAATCTGTGAATATTGGGGTCAAACTTCATGAAGAATGAGAGTTGCTGGGTTCCTGACATGCATAAACAAACAAACAAAAGTTCTGCATCGTGGCTCAATTTGTGGATTCACTTATCAAAGACAGAGCTCATTAAAATCACTGCCTGTCCCACCCATTAATTTAGAGTTTGATTCAGTTGGAGTATCTGGTGGGAAATCCAGCACAGAGGAACAACATTGGAGATCTGTTGAGCAGAGTCCTCACAGTGCGATGAGCACAGTTGTTTTCTGTTTTGAATTATCTCTTTTATGGTGTTGGAGCTTTTCCATCCATTGTGGGACACTGATTTTATGGTTCCATGCTTGTAATCCATTTCAGCAAAAAGATGATTGTTTGTTATCCTTTTGTGCTGCAGAAAACTTACAAGCATAAAGCTAGCAAATAAAGAGTATCAGGAGTTTTTTTTTTTTTTTTTCCAAGCTTTGGAATGATTTCACTTTCACTGCAGAGAGCGGAAAGAGGGGAATAGAGAATGGGAAAAATGACTGAATGGTTTTGAGGGGTTGCATATGAAACATTAACCAGATTAACTTAGTAATGAAAACTCCATGCAAAAACAGTCTGTACTTAAGCAAATTGCTCTTAATCAACACCAGCGTTTAGGTTGAAGGATCCTGCAAGAATTCAGGTGCCTTATTACTATCAATATTACTGCAACATGTATTTGTACATTTTAAATATTCTATGTTGCTGTGATAACTATAATGTTAGCCTGTTTGTTGGAAATCTCAAATGTTTTACGTCATAATCCTAAAATAACTTTGCTTGTTATCCTGTGTCAACCAGTTATCATCAGATCTGTATATATTTTTCTTGTCATGTCAGGATAACAAACTTGTTTTCCCATCATGACAGATACATTTTGTCCAATTATGTGAAGGATAAATGATAGTGAAACGTAATTATGCAAATTACAATCCTACCAGAGTAAATAAAGCACTGACAAGAAGCACGGGGCACACTGACATGCTCATTTTCTGGCTACCAACCACAGAAATGGACAATGTGGTTTAATTTAATCTAACTTGATTTAAGGATGATTTTATTACTTTGAATATGATTTATTTTAACAATCAAAAAAAGCCATAAGCTTCATTGTTTTACAATTACACATAACACTGAGCCTTTCAGATCATAGTTAAGTTCAAACATCAGTCTGCTTCTTCTCAGTCAGAGATGGTTGACGTTTAGGACTCGGGAGCTCTTACATCTGTGCCTGGTAACCATCATTATTTCCTGACTCTCAAGACCAGCCAGAAACAGAAAAATGACATTTTATTCAATACTGTAAGACTTTTTGTGACTATTATGAATTAAAATGGTTTTCCTTTAAAAAAAAAAACAAGATGCAGTCTTCAAAAGTTTTTCTTGATGGGGGGTCATCTACAATCAGGGCCATCCTGTATTGGGCCAATATTGTGGTTAGCATTGAAGAGGGTTTTTGAAAGATCAGAATCAAAAATTTAATAACTGGGCAATAACTTTAGATAAGACAGCTCATTTTTTGAGATCTGGAGCACAGCAGGATGGGCTGCTCACTTACCAATTACCAATCATAAGGAGGTCAGTTCAGCCCATTTCTGTGATTGTTCAGAGATTTCCAGCTGTGGAGGTAAGAGGAAGTTGTGCTCCAACATTAAAGAGATATTCTGGCATAAAATTAAGTTATGGTCAAACACACCGTAACACCAAGTTAGACACCCCCTCGAGAGATGAATGTTGCAGACTGCTTGCTTCTCTCTTCAAACCAACATCAGCAATGACCGCAGGATAGCAATACTCAGTGGTCTACGTCTCCACGCACAAACCTCAAGCAAAAAGCCACTCTATAGCCACAAATAATGCTCAGAACAGCACCTAACTTCATCAACAGTACATACAGGGTCCCAGCCATAGTACTAACCATCTAACATCTTTTTAGCTTTGCGAAACACAACTTCACCCACTCTCTTCCAGCAGCCGCTTGTTTGGGGGGGGGTTCTACAGCTCAAGGAAGAACATTTACGATTATTACTTCATGGAAATGCAATCAGCCTGAGATGCTAAGGCAGAAGAACTACCAGTACAATAGTACAGTCTGCAGTGCAAATAATTATTATGATGATTATTACTTCAAGGAAATGATCCGCTGCACTCGGTGGTCGACTCTTCAGGGCTCCCCCCACAAACAAGCGACTGCCGGAGGAGAGTGGGTGAGTTGTATTTGGTCTCTTGGCAAAGCTAAAAAGATGTTTGATGGCTAGCACTATGGCTGGGACCCTATATGTACTGCTGATGAAGTTAGGTGCTGTTCTGAGCATTACTTGTGGATATTGAGTGGCTTTTTGGTTGAGGTTTGCGCGTGGAGACGTAGACCACTGAGTATTGCTATCCTGAGGTCGTTACTGGAGTTGGTATAACTAGAAAAGCAAGCAGTTGGCAACATTCATCTCTTGAGGGGGTGTCTAACTTTGTGTTACGGTGTAATAATTAAATTTCCTCATTATTACAGTAAAACAGACTATTGCTGCATGTCTGCTCTGCGCTATATATTTACTCAAAAAACCAAACTCCAAAATGATGCCACATCTGCTCGTATTTTACATTTTCGTATCAATGGTGTCATCACACATTAGTCATGCCAGCTAAATCTGGCACATCCACCACAGTCGAGTCACAGTCCACGCAGCTCTCCAGTTTGTATCAGGGAGTAAAGAGAGACAACAGCTCATCATCTGTTTTATATGCACTGATTTTCTGTGTGTTTAAATCAAAAACAGGCAGTGAAAGCTTTGCCCTGCTTTACTGAGTGAAACTCTTTCACAGGAGGCCATGAAAGGAAGTCCATTTCACTTCGCAGTGAGCCACATGCTCCCAGGTGGAAGATTTATTTCAAAGTGTGCGCTGCTGCTGATTATCTGCTTAAACTCTAATGAGTAACTCAATCACGGCACTACCCAAATTGGGTGATGTATTTTATACCATGAAAGCATTCCACCGCCCACTGTGAGGCCTGAGACGGCTTCATTACTGCATGTCTTTAATGTCGCGTCAGAACAATGATGCACTTCAGAGCAAAAAGACATTTTGCCTTAATGCCTCATTAGGTTTGAGCATCATGAACAGTGTTTTTTGTTTTTTTTTTGATTTGTTTTTCAATTTTGCCCCTGAAATATGAAAATATTAATGTTATGAAAATATGAAAAGGTTTCCGTTTCACAGTAATAATGACTTTATATCTGGAAATAATGGCAAAATTATTCCTGCATGGAAAAGCTCTGCTTTGCACATGACATCCCCTCTCTGTAGTTCTACATACAACCCTGTTTTATTTTTACATATTTATCATAATGGTAAAAGGACAGTTATTTAGGTAATGTCTGACTATCTATCTATAGCTAGGAACTGATATTTCTTTGCTGCAAATAAGTGCTTGTTTCCTGTGTGTTCTTCCTTTGGCAAACAGGTGTATGTACAGCTGATAAGCATGACTCATTCTTGCCTCAACGCAGCAGGGTGACGTTCTTCCTCAGATGTATATTACAAAAGGCAGACCTATGCAATTATGAGATGATGGAAAAAGGGGAAATTAGGCTGCAGTGTGTGGGAGGAGGTATACTGTACCAATTATTAAGATCTGGACTTCCACATCATAACCTTTAGCTGTTGTCATGTAGCTTTCATCGGCCTGACTCAATGGAAAAACAGATGTTTATTTAAAATATAAAGTTTAAGAGAACATAAACCACATGTGTACACAAATATCGAGTTAACAGACTAACACATATGCATCTGCCCAAGATGAGTTATATATCACAGTCACAAACACGCAACATCATCTCTATGAGGCTAAATAGATTTTACAGTCAGTACAAATACATCCTCGCCTGCAACTTTTACTCAAAACACATCTCATCACGCACGCTTCATGCTTCACTTTTACATCAGCTCTTTACTCTGTTTTCATAGCAGCAGAAAAAAACCTCTTGACTTAGTTTAAAGGAGTGGTATTTTTTGAAGGAAAGATCAGCTCTGTCTTTCTTGCATTTGTGAACTTTTTTAACAGATTTTCACAATGCACACGATCCTGGATATTTTAATGAACATCTATGCTTGTATGCAGTGGCTTCATAATACCTTTATTATGAGCAAATGGCTTCATGAAAGAGCTTATGAACACAAGAGTCTGCTGAACTTGTTTACATAGGTTTGAGGAAAAGTTAAAATATTTAAAGTGGATGGTGACAGAGACTTTACAGGTGCCTACAAAAAGATGATGAATGGGATAGCCACTGTTAGGAGGGTTTGACTGACAGGGTTTGAAGCTGAACATACAGCCTCTCCAAATACGCAAGTTTACCTTTAAATCTTGAACCTTCTCGCTACTTTACCTCGATGACAGTCATTTCCTTCTTTCTGTGAACCACAGAGGTTCTGTGGGGTCTGTTGATTTCAGACTTGCCACAAACTTAAATCCACTTTACAACATACCTTCTTATGAATTTGCTAAAATTTGAAAGTGTGGTGGACTCCACACTTGATGCCAAATGATGACAGATTTTTATGTTTTTATTTTTTTTTATTTAGTGTGCATAAAGTAATAGTATAGTCAAGATGGCACATGACATAAACACATATTCCTCTCAAATCTTCAACATCACTCATGGTCAACAGTAAGTCAACTGGTGCATCTATTGTACTGTTTCTGTTCAACTCCTCTCCTTTACAGTTTGACCCAGTGTAATAAATCAGTTTGACACTTATGTTCTTGCCACATACCAACAAGTTGGTCCTCCATTCTGGTGCTCAGAAGAAGCTGTGTCCCAGTTCAGGGTCTGCAGTCTTTGAAGGCAGCATTTGAAGACCGCACACACCACAGCAGCATGTTGAAGGCTGTCCCAACTCGGGGGCTCCTCCGAATCCAGCCGGCAAATCTGTGCTGCTTCACTCAGACTATGAAGGCCTTGTAGTTAGAAAGATGAAAACCTGTATTTTCTCAGTATTAAAATACAACAAAATTACATTTGTTTAATAAATAAATAAATAAAGGATGGCAGCATGCATGAAAGCAGCTTGGCTTACCTTGAAGGGGAAATTAGTGGGGCCCCCCACATATTCTATGTGTGCTAATACAGCCAGAACAGCAGACCCTCAAATTGCTCTGTAACACTCTGGTAATACAGAAACCATGCTTGCTGGTGAGCCAGGTGGATATCTGTTGTGGCTTACCTTCTGACAAGTGATGAACGCTGGGCCCTCTGACGGCTGCGGCCCCTGGATTAGCATTGCTGTCACTTGGTTCCATGACAATCCACAGAGTGCATGCCAGACTGTCCTCAGGTTCCCCCCACAACAGGACATCTGTTTGTGATATTGAACAAGTTTAATATTCGCGATTACAAATCAGCTTGAGCATGGTTTTCTCACAGGCAGTTTTTGGGAAGTCAGATCACTTTTTACACACCTCACACCCCAGGACAATCTGGCAAGATAATCTTCAAAACTGAAAAAAAAATCAGGACTTTGCAGACATTCGTCAGAGGAGGAGAATCTGGTCATCTTGTAGAACATGTCCTTCTTTACCTGAAACAAAACTTCAGCTCTCTAAGGAATCAATGATGGTACATGCACGAGTCTTTCAGGGTGGTTTGAGGGTTAAGCAGGAAAAGTATTTTAAATGTGACATAAACCCAATGTGATAAAACATTGTAGGAGAGCTCTTTCTAAGAAGTTGAAGTGCACTTTGCTTCTAATCTTGTCCAAGGTGGTACTGAATCCCGTATTTGTACGTATGCAACTACTCAGTATATTTAAGGTTTGTTGGACTGGGCTCTGTCGTCTGTTTGTGTGCTACTGTGTCTGCTGTATTGACACCAAATCACTGTGTTTGCATTGATTCAGTGTCCCAGTTTCTCTTTCTGGCAAAGCTTTACTTTCATCTTATCTGAGAGACTAATGAGTCAGCGTTAACATCCGTCATGCTGTGCAGATGTCACCACTGGAAAACATACTTTCATTTTTTTTTCCATGTGAAGAAGATCCAGAAAAATTCACCACTGTCAAATGGTGCACTCTATGGGAAAGGGTCACATATGGAGCCAAAACGCTGGGAGCAGCAATGTCTGAGTAAAAAAAAATGAACTAAAGTGAGCAGATTGAATGGAACAGTGTGATAATAACCAGGAGTAAAGTCAGTTCAGTATCACTGAGTTCAACACGGCTCATGTCACCATTTATTAGGATTCAAGAGAGAGTCAGTGACCTCAGCGTCACGTTTTTACTCCAGGGGAGACAAAAGGTTACAGTATCCATCACTGAGTCCTGCTGAGAGCCACTGTGGGTGTGTTCACACACATGTGGCAGGTCAACTGAGAGTGTGTGTGTGTGCAGTTTTTTACTGTATGTGTTTGTGTGTAAATAGACCACATATGAGATATTACTTGCATGTCTAAGTTAATATAAAAATGCGTGTGTGTATGTGTGCGTGTGTGGGTGGGTGTGTTGGTCAGCTGTTAATGATGCTGTCATGTCAGGGAGTCGCCTTCCTCAAGAGAAAAGGCTGACTCATGGGCTAACTGGCTGGCCTACTTTTACTGGGATTGGAAACTGGATCACTGCAGGACCTACACACAAACACGCAATCACACACACACCCACGCACACAGGCCCCCATGCATTACCTTGAGCTTATTTTTGCAGACCTTGCTTAGGTGCAGAGTACAAAGTCACAGTTGAACCATGGATGGATGATAAATACTCTCTTGGGAGACTCAGCTAATTTAAACCAAAACATACTCTGTGAGGTTTTCAGCACCTCATTTGTGTGTTTATAGATGCCTGTTGACTTTACTGAGATACATAAAGCTTAAAAACGAGTCTTCACAGCTGCTGAGCGTGTTATTATTCCTTTGTCCCAACTTTACAGCTTTCCCATCACCAAACTCTAAAATATAGTCGCTTAATTCTCCCTCTAATTAATTATTGCTTTGTTGCATGTTTTTCACCCAATTTCAGATCCCCGAATGAAAAGATGCAGAAACTTGCCAAAAAGAGCTCAGAGAGGAACACATAATGATGCCTCTGCTCAACGCAGAGCTGCACGCTGCTTTCAGCTCTCAAAACTAATTCTGTTAAGCGAGCATCAGTGTTGTTGTTGCGGCCCTAAAGTGCAACTCAGAGTTACATAAATGTTTTAATTGTCTTCCAACTTCAAAGTGTACTAATTCAAGACTGGAACAAAAATAAAAAGTTACCAAAAAGGGATATTTCTCAAAAAGAAACTTGACACACTTTAAAGAACTTTTACTTTTACATTAGACTGCATCCCATCACAACCTCCACACCATAATGCAAAGGTGGAGAAGAGGGTTGCCATCACTCTCTATACAATATTGAAGCACTGGATATCCACAATTCAATCTGCAATTGTGAATCAAGTTTCTCACTGTTTTGTCATGACTAGTCTCCATGCATCATATAGTATTTCACTCAGAAGTGGCTGTGTTTGTGTGTGCATGCTGTGTCTACAGGGACGAGGAAACTCACCATTGTGAGCAATTATCCAATTATCATGCCCTAAACGGACCTCATGGTAGATGGGGTCACTGTGATCATGTCCAATGAAAGAGAGAATAGAGCAAAAGCACAGAGGGCATGAAGTGGCACCATAAGGGTTTAGCCTGAATATGACTAAAGTGCAAAAACCTCTTCATGAATGAGTGAGAGGTAACTATGAAGCCAGTTTAAAGGGAAATTGGATCTGTTGGTCTTACATGTCAATATTTTGAAGATGGCTGAATTACCATGCACCCAGCAAAGCTAACCTGGTCAGGACTGTTGAACTGTTTAGGGTTGGGACCAGGATATGTTTGGAGTTTCAGCCCTGCTAAATACTTCATACATAGAAACATTTAGATCTGTGATGATATGTTGGTAAAGACATGAAGTTTAGCCAGTTATAAGTATAATGCATACGTTAACTTATATATGCTATATTATATAATACACCAGAAATGTGTATAAAAGGGAAAGTTCTCTGGTTTTGGTGCAATAAAGGAACAGGTTTTGGAATTTAATCAAATGTAGCTTTTCTCTTACTGAGATATTCATGTAAAATGTTCCTAATTTGCCCGAGGATAGAATATAAAAAAAAAAAATCTGCTAACTGTATTAAACTGTTAGCTAACTGCTTTGTTGATTCCCTGGTGAAAATGCTCAAACAAAGCTAAGGGAATCTGCATCATTATGACCATCCTGCCCCTTCCACTAACCGAAACACAATTTCACTCCACAGGTAGACAGAAAATCCTCCTTCAGGTTAGCACAGTCAACAGAAAATTAAACTGTTAAGAAATATTGCGATTTTGACATAAACCAGCATAAATATTACTGTTTTCATCCACCCCCCACCTGTTAACATGCAGGGGGTGACACCATGACCTGAGCTGCAGCTTTATAAGTTTTGACTTCACTTCTGGGACACTGTCAGGTTGTCCATCTTTTTATATGGTCAGAGATGCTGAAATAAGCAGTATTTTCAGCTGTTGAAAAATGAAGCTTAAATTCAACTAAGGGCTTTAAAAACCTCACTCTGCCTCATGTTATAATGCCCATAAGAGAATAAACATATTTAAAGTCTGGCACAAAAGTGGTGTTAATCCCCCACAGCTCATTCATCCACTTTGGTTATATATCATATTTCATCACTCACTTTACCTCAGGGTCACACTGAATCTATGGTCTATTTTTAAAACATCTGATGTACATGCTTTGTATATTCATACTGATTATTTAGGCAGGAACAATAGACAGATAAAACCATCAAAAATGGATTCTCATGGAAATTCAATGTGACAGATAGAAATCACTGCAGGGGCTTTTTTTAACATAGTGTCCCTTTTTTGTTAGATTATGATGACAACACTCTGGTTACCATGCAGGTGTGAATTCATGAGGGTAATTAAAGCGGATCCCTGACTCATGCAGGGATTGATTCTGGAAATCCCAACAGCGTGAAGACTTTAACAGAGTCTATTTGTTATTAACCAGCTCGTAATTCAGGCGAATGGGGGAGACCACATGGAAATTTCTGTTCAAATTTAATTTCAAAAAAGGTCATTGAATCCTCAGTATGTGAGATATCAGTGACATCAACGGCGACTGTGAGGGCCGGGGTGAGCTGGGATGTGGAGGTGTTGAATGTGATGAAGAGAGCCCAAACAAGGCCACCAAACCAGGAGACCAATAAACAAAACTGAATGAGGCAGAAAGGAAGTTCTGGATTTATGGAGGGAATATTGCAAAAGGGAGTGTTTCTATCGTCATTATAACTCAGTGATTTAGAAGAGAAAGCCTCAGACTTTCACCAGATTGCATAAATTCAGTGTCACTCTGGGACTCAGGCCCATTAAAGCAAAGCTCTTCTCTCGTGCTGTGGAAGATCCCTCAGAAACAAGCCTGCAAAACAGTTTCGGGTTGATTCATCGCGAAAGAACCGCAGATTTAGTAATTGAAAGTGACATATTTTGAAAATATGTCTTGCAGATTGAATTGCAAAAGCATCCTTATGCACACACACAAACATTCATATGGATAACACTTGGTTTACTGCAACATTTTCCAACACATGTACCCTGTAATTACTGCCATAAAATGCAGAGCAGCTGTCAGATGACCTCTCCTTTCAGCATGACAAGTTGAAGACACACACTTTGTGTAAAACCTCCACAACGATGGAAAGAAACTCAAAATCATCTCATACACACACACACATATACACACACACACACTCATCAGGTGGTGCAGATAATGAGACTCTGCAGCAGGTGAGCTTGCCTGAGGTGATCTGGGATGGAAAAGATTAGCAGAGGATTGAAAAAGAGGGAATACAGGAATGCATGAACAAATGGACGAGTATGAAGAGGATTAGCAAAGCACTAAATTGGCAGATGTAAGACATCTATATGTAAAACAAACACAGCTGAGTTATGAAGCCTGCACTATGGTAGTCTGTGGGGGATTCAGGAAGAGAGAACAATACTGCTGGGACAGACAGAGTGGAGGGAAGATGGATGTGGACAGATGTTTGTTGTCTTGAACTAACATATTGGAAAATAGCAATAGTGAATCACAACCCCAGCTACAGAAAGGTTGTAATGCTGAGTAAATTGTTGATAAAAACAGAATTCAACAATTTGCAAATCATCAAAACCTTATTTTCAGGTGAAATAGTGCACAGACAACAGCTCCAAAATGGAACTTTTTTTTTTTTTTAATAAAATGTAAAACTAAAGTTTGATGCCGGAAACATTTTTATTGTGATGCATTAGTTTACCTCCTCTTTTCACTAGGCTGTAACTGTTTGGGAACCAAGGAGACCAGTATCTGGGGTTTTCAATTGTTGCCTCAGTCTTGCCTG